GATGGATGGATGGATGGATGGATGGATGGATGGATGGATGGATGGATGGATGGATGGATGGATGGATGGATGGATGGATGGATGGATGGAAAGAAAAACTGTTTCTTCGGTGTTTCCAGGACCAGTCTTCTTAATTCATTGGGTCGAAAATCTGCTGTCAAGATTCACGGATCATCCGATTTCGACTTAGCAAGTCTTGGCGACTCCCCCAATCGACCACGAAGCCTCGAATTCGATGAAGTTTGAAGCCCAAGGCTTTTATCTGCAGCGTGCTACAAGCGACCTCCCCAATTCTGTGGATCCATATCTTAAACCATCTTGAACCAACCAGTCTAGAAATGTGTCACCCCTCAAAAAAACCAACAATGACGAAGGTGAACCCGCCAGTCTCCTTATCAAGATGCATTGGATCATATTGGATCCACCAACGCCAACCTGCAGGATCACCTGCCGTCCCCCCGCAGTCCCAGAAACACCGAGAAAGTCCATCTGCGGCCGCGAGGAGACGTACTCCACAATGTCCTGGAACAGGCGATGATGAGACGCTTCGGAACCGGTTTTTCCCCAAGCCAGCCCCAACCACAAACTGAATTATGTATGTAAGGGGTTTGATTTGTTGGGGCGATTCATTATATTAGTTTGGAAAACTAAGAACATGTTCCCTTGTTAACCTGACACCCGAAAAATATGTAACCTATTATTTCATCAAATCGGGACCATTGCCCAACAAACTTTGGGATTCTTATGGAACCCTTGGCAAACCCTGCCGGATCCCTTCCAACCATGAGGGATCCTCAGGCTTAAACAGGGTAACGGGTGAAATCCTAGATGACTTCATCCCGGGTCTCAGAGGAGACAGGGCCACACTTTCTCCAAACACAAGCACCACACACTTATAGAAGAAAGCTCGCAAGCATCAACCAGCGGTCTTCCGGAGTGCATTAGACTGTTATACTACTGCAGTAGGTTTTGGCTGAGGAACTGTAGGGTCAAGAGTCGTGTGAGACAAGAAAACTGCAGAAGTAATAGAATGGAAGCACGGCCACGGCGTTGAACCACGCGTTGAACAACACGCTGGTTTGCGGGTGCGCATCAAGGGGGACGGACGCCTTGATTATGCTTCCCCTGTCACATCGCAGCTTCCAGGTTAGATGTGGCAGGGTTTAAGAGTCTTTTTTTAAACAAATTGACTGATTTCACCAACCGTGCAAAAATGAGGAGACTGTGTGAAATTGCGATCCCTTAGAAGCAGGGGTTGGCACACACGCACACACGCACACACACCACACACACGGTCCTGGAAGCTGGCATGTTCCGCGCTACCATCCTGGGACTTCGAGCCCTTCCCACGACTTCATCTCTGTCCCATGCAATCCAAGTGCTCCGTTCTCTGGGACGTCCTTTTCTCCTTGTGTCCTATAGGATCCTACCTGGTCCAGGTCCTTGGGCCCCTCAGGGTGAACTCTTGGGGCCGGGTGCGGGGCCGGGTTAGGTCATGGTAGGTCTATGAAGCTGAAATGCTCTGCATTGCTCTGCCGAGAAAGACACCGATGTCAAGAATCCTGTCGACAAACCTCCATGGGTCCATCGTGGAAACCGTTGTTCGGGGTAAAACATCCATGGGTAAATTCCGTGTATCCCGTCTTTGAAGCGATTTGGCCAAAACTCTCCACCAACTTGGACGTGATGCGGCCAGACTCTCGTCGGGACATGTCCCTCTTGAACAGCCCCAGGGTCCGGGTCGACTTGTGTATTCATGAGACCTCCCAGGTAATTAACCCTAAGGAAGAAGGACTGTACTGTCTACTAGCGATGGCCTCCAAACCTAAGAGCGATGGCCTCCATCTCTACTAGCGATGGTTTCTCCCCGCATCCGTCGGTCTTTCTGACTTCACTCGTCGGTCTTGTCGATGCAAACAGCCCGCGTACGGGGGTTTTGGCAAGCTCAACCGTGCGGAGCGTTTTCAGGGGGTACGGCGGGTAGGGTGATCTGAGTCATCGCAGGAAAAAAGGACCTACTTTGTCGATGACTCAGCCAGGGCCACGGGCGGCGAGCGGGTCGCGCAGACGTCCGAGTTGAACTCACAAAAAATGACCCACTAGCCATTCTTAAAAATTACTGATGAATCACACCCCCAAAGCATGGATTGCCAAACCTGTGAAGAGGCTTGGGGTGTTGAAATATCATTCAAGAGTCTACATGAATCAGTGAGGACTCGTTCATCTTCTTTCATCCGCCCAGTCTGACACTATACCAAGCGGCCTTCCGTGCATCAACAATGAGCAATTGGCACTTAACACTCAGCGCATCCATCAGCCGCGGCGCGTAGCCGCTATCAGCCGTCCAACCAATGCAGAGTTCGCCTACTGGCATGCAGAGTCTTCCACAAAGACATGGTCAAATTCATGTTTAACTGCACGCTGCATCATGTGTATGTGGAGATTTGTTTGAACACTAAAGATCTCAGCTACAATGTCTTTTAGCATCTCTTGGCGTTCTTCACTGTCTTCAGTCTGCGGGCGTTCGGACTAAGACTCGAGGGCGTTCAACAGCGTTGGGCGTTCATTTCCGACACAGGATCCCTTTCAAGCAAACGTCGGGCCTATCTCCAGGCGTGCACCGAAGCAGGTTTCGCTGTGCCGTGAGCGAAAGGAGGTCAACTTCAGGAGGCCCACCTTCTTCACCGGTGCACGGGAGTGGGTTCCTTTCGGGCGGTTGGTTTGAGCTCAGCTCTTGAGTTCAGCAAATTCAAGAGCTCATGTTGGGGCAAATAACAAATATATAATATTATCCCTCTGAGGAGATTAAACAAAAAACAGAAAAGATGGGTATGTTGGGTCCAAGTTCTCGAAGACATTGATCCATCATGATCCATCTATCCTGATCTTTAAGGGGCGCTAGAATCTGGAACTGCGCTTGTGACTGCTGGCGACACCGCTCATCTGGTCCATGGGTCGAACGAAAAAAGATCATTCATTCGGTCTCACGAAGCGAAGCACTGGTGTGATTCCTTGACTTCTTGATTCATATCACTCCTATACCAAACCCTATCTCCCCAAAATCAGCGCTCACGGCTTTTGGCGACGACTCCAAGGGGTGGTGCCAGGCTGGGAGCACCTCAGACCTGGCACCAACCCTGGTCCCCTAAACAACCATCCATTGGGATGGTGCAATGACTCCTAAGGCTTCGCATTGCTTCGCGCCTTTCACCACAGCTCCCATCTGGGGCGGGTGGGCAGGGTGCAAGAAAAGTTGCGGCTCCTGAGCAAAGAACACCTAATCAGACGAAAAAGACCACCTGAACTCAAGGAACAACATGTTCAACTGGAAGGGGATTGGGGTGTGGAGTGATTCCCTTATGCAGAGTATCCCTGCAACGTTCCCGAAAGTAAATCTTTGGCAAAGCACCTGGCTGAAGCTTCCACGCATTTAATATCACTCAATCATTTCGATTTCGCTGAGACTTCCAGATTCAGCGTGCGGAGCTTCAGGCCAGTGAGATGTCGACAACCACCCCGGGTATGGAAAAAACATCGTGCCAACCACCTCAACCACCTTCCGCGGAAAGCGGGCGCGCTTCACTGCTCCGCTCACCTGGGTGTCCACTTGCAGAGTCTCCTCCTCTGGTGTTGGAGTCCAGGTCGCCAACTGGTCCAGATGCAAGCCGGAGCTCTCGAGCTCGTGCATCCGATATGTTTGAAGCCTGGCAGCGGGACGGAGAGGGCTAAAACGGAGGTGGATTTGGTGACTCCAACCGGGGAGACACACACACACAACTCGCCCAAGGTGGTTTCAAGCAGATCAGATTGATCAGATACATCATTTCCACATGTTCGACTCAGAATGGGTGACTCAGACGGACCTTGCAAAAGAAGCAAGAAGACCTTATCAGTTTTCATGCTAACTCCATCATAAAACGATTTAAGAAGCCATCCGCAGGAGGCCCTGTGAAAGGAAATGCTTCTCCAAAAGGCCTGCTGAGCACCTCCGGTGCCGCCAGCACTTGCATGCGCCGCTTCCGCTGAACTCCTCTGCGGAGTTCGGATGGGTTCGGTAGAGAAGAACAGGCGAGCACGAGGCGAACTCATTCGAAGAGGAATGAAGAAGGAACCCCGTACTGCTATTTAGCTGCTATCAAACCACACCAGGACCAGGAATCTAAGAAGAACTCCGCTCCTGGCGATAGCCAAGTAGAGGTGTGAATCTACACTCCCTGGATCCTCTGAGAAGCATTTGTTGCTACGAGTAGATTTTTGTGCAAAGGCTTCTTGGATGAAACTTGGATGCTACAAAAATGCCTCCAGTCCTGGAGGTTGCTTCAAGCATAAAAGAATGATACATAATATGATATAATATGATACCAATATACTACAATATACCAACTCTACTTCGGCCTGCAGTAGATGGCACGAACTCAAGATTATTTACAAGTATCTGAACCCGCTGGTCACCTGCTCGAGGATCAGGTGTGTGCCATTTGCCAAAATTTCTTCGACTTCGGCGGCCGTTTGCGCACGCCTTCGACAGCGAGAACCACAGGCAGCTCACCAGCATGGTCGCTGTGATTGTGACTGATGAAGATGGTGCAAGGGATCTCTCCTGTGATGGTGAAATAACATCGAGCACCATCCAACCATTGTAGAAGAAAAAAGACACTGGGGCCTTAGTCCTTTTCTTTTTTCGAGCCCTTGCCAATTCCTGCGAAGGGATTTCTATGTCCAAATGTAAAAGAAGACTGACTAGAAAGGGCCGCAAACATTGACAAACACTTGAGGATCCAGTTGCCTTTCTCTCTGTGATGTTCCTGGTTTCAATGGTTTTTGGTGTCAGAGCAGAACGGCATTGAGCCTTGGACCTTGTTCTGGCGATGTTCACCAAACAAACCAATCGAAGCAAAGGCCTACGCCGCGCGATCTTCCTACATAACAGATCACAAGGGCCAAGCCTCAGCCTGAGGACCCAAGTAAGAAGACAACTAGAAGACAAACCCCCAAAAAAACACCTACCATTCTGTCCAAGAGAAACAAGAGGTCAAATGTATTTGGCATGCACTTCCTCCCCGACTCAGAAGCACAGCCAGAACCCTTTTGAAGCTGCACAGCCAAAAGTGCTTCGGACATCACAAGCTCACCGCACCTAGGTGCTGCATGGCTGACCTGCAAACCCCAATGCCCAGGTCGGCCAAAAAGAAGGCTTTCCTGCGGGCAGTCGTCGACCGGCTGGCTCACCCAGGTCGACCAAAGGCTCGATCGACTGAGTCGTCGACTGAGTCCCAAATTGGACGACTTGGAAGAGCAAACACGACTGACCCCCCTTGGCTCCGAAAGAATCTGGATCTTCCAAGGTCAAACAGGATGTGTTGTGGATAACAACGCTCCAAACAATGGCCACCACTACTCACCCCCGTCATATCCCCTCGTGTTAAAAAAGAACATCACATGAGCTATGCTTCAACATGACCCTATTATTCAATCCTGGTACTGTACTATACAGCAATAAGTCGCGAACCATCATGAACCCATCCTTCTCCGTATCAACGCGCGTCCGTCCAACAATCCAGAAGTGTGCAGCCTTGTGCCATCCCATTTCCCGCATGCATGGGCTCTGGGTCATGGTGCCGGCGGACCCTGGTTGACCACTGGTATTTCCCACCGAACATGGAACAGAATAAACTACCAGAGAGGTTAACCAAGGTCAACCTACCAATTCATAGGCTTCCGGGTGTGCTTCCGCCACATCGTGTGCTTCAATTCGCCGGGTCCGTGCGGGGCGTCGGAATAGGGACCGTCGGTCCCGTTCATGGTGAGTGCCCAACTGCTGCTGGCTTCATCATCATAGATCGCTGTCTTCCCTGCTCCGCAGCCCAGGCAGCGCAGAGTCACGGGGTTCTCTGCGTCCATGGCGAGATGAAGAGAGCATGGGGCGAGATGGGAGATACCGCTTTGATCGAGTGGTTCATAGGCTCCTTGGGGCAGGTGATGAGATGAGGTGATATTTTGTTTCAGTCGATGGTGCAATCCGGAAGATGGGTTTTGGTGATTCGTGGACCGTGATTCATGTGGTTGGTAGACTTCTGATCTGAGGATGAAGATCACAAGGCAAGGAAAGATTCAAGATATCGGATATCGAACTATATCGATTTGCACCTCTTTGGCAGGTTCGGGTTCCCCCTCCATGAGGGGGGATGACCCTTGAAATATTCTTTGCTCTAACAGTCAGTTCGTCTGGGATCGGATTGTGGGATCAATCCTTGATGTTTGATGGTGATTTCACCGGTGTTCAAAACCACAGGCTCCGCAGTGGTGGAACTCATTGAGCTGACTCACATGCACAGAGGAGCATCGTGTTTCAAACATAATGTAGACTCTTGATTTATAAACCCCCCATATATGAAGAGGATTTCCCAACAGCAGCATGACTGTTGGGTTTCAACAATCAAGAGTCTACATTAAATCTCTTGAGCATCTCAGATTTCTTGAGACATCTCATCTTTTGTCCATCCCCTGTTTTTTGGGCCATCCACTGGCAGGAGAATCGGCAGAATCGGCTTCTGTCTGTAAAAACATACGCTGCCCGTGGTGCTGAGGATGCGAGGAATGCGCTGTCACGGATACGAGGACGGATGGTCCCGAGATGGTTCCAAGCTACCAGGTTCCTTTTTTCTGCATGCTTGCTGCTTGCTTCCAGCACCCAGGGTGCAGATGTCCAGACCACAGATGGGCCCAGGCTGCCCAGGTTGCAGATGGGCATCATCTGATCCACGACGGTGGCTTCTGATGGCTTCTGATCTGTTGGTGTTGGACTTTCCCCACTCCTCATGATTCCTCCTCAGGCCCTTCACCCTCCTGTGGAGGTGAATGGCTCAAGTCGCAGCACTGATAGCAAGAACCGCAAACGGAACACCAACAGCCACCTTTGCAACAATCACTACAGAAGTATGCACAGTCATTCTCTTCCCCACAGTATGTGCAACAACGCAAGGTCTCCTTAGCTGCTTCAGTATCACAGCCGGCACAACAAAACTTCCTCTTGCGCTTCTTTTTGGTCTTCGGCTTTCGCAAAGCAGCCTCCCGAGCAGCTTGAAGAGAGGGTGGCAGAGTCTTAAGGAGGTAATCTGGAAAGGAAATGAAGCTTCCGGTGACCAAATAGGCAGAGTGTGAAGGACCTCCAATGCCAGTCTTCATAGATTTCCAGGCATTCTTCCATTGATCTCGAGGTAGCGACTTTAGACAATCCTCCAACCATTGCTTTAAAGATCGCAAATAGTCACCAAGGGATTTGGAAACAATGATCTCTTTCAAATCGTTGAGCGGCACCATGCTCACAGCACCACCCGGTATCAAATCCACCGTATACTGCGGCCCAACGAAGAGATGTCCACAACTCAAGCGCTGCTCCCAGTTCTCGGGCGGATCCGTTTCCACCGAGTAGTCCGCTCCAGTGAACTGAAGACTCAAATAGGTCAAGCCAGAGCTTTCAGCACTGGGTGTCCTTGGAAGACTCCGATCCTCTCCGTTGTCTTGGGCATCAAGAAGACATGATTGGTTTGATCAATTGATCATAGCATGACTTGCAAAACGAAACTTTGGAGATTGGATCCGGTTTGTCAGGGTGTGGGTGTGTGTTCGTTTGTGTCCGTTTGCTGACAGAATGTGCAGGAGAAGAACACATAGTGTACCTAAATGTTGGGGAAGCCAATGAACGCTTGGAAGAATATACTGTATCCCCTCTGTCCTCTTAAAGGACTTCATGGGTCATGGACTTCAAAGTTGAATTCAGAGCTTCTTCGTTCAAAGAAAGCTCAGTCCGAGCATCTGGGCGTGCAGATTGAAGCTTAGCTCGCCATACATCCCTAGCAAGGAGACCACTCTCCAAGCAAAGCGATGATCCTGCGCTTTTCGCACAAAGGTAAGCAACGAATGGCTCTGGGTCAAAACCAGAACACTTTGGTTGACCTACCTGGGAGGTCAAGCTACATGCTGGTGGGGCTCCAGGTGTTTGACCAATAAACATTAAAGTTACAGTAAATTGAACCTTAGTGTCATTGTATGGGTTCATGACCTCATGCTTGGATTCATGACCTCCCCGTCCTCCTCACGGTCCCCGGTCCTCTCGTCAGTCCCGTCCCCGTCCTCTTCCAGGAGCCACTCGGGCACCGAAGCTCGAAGCCTTCCGAAGGACCGGTTTCGACCGGTTTCGATGAGACCCGTTTTCGTTCAACACCTTAATTATATTAGCTCACCCAACACAGACGGAGACTAATCAGACAACCCCGAAAAGAAAGCTTGGGACGTTGATCTGGCAAAACGATGTTTTCCACCCGCAAGCCGCATCGCAAGAACCCCCACGTCGCAAGGCGCGGAAGAGAACCCTCAATCTCGTCGACGTCGTTGAGCCTTTGAAAGTCATCTTCAGGAGTCACCCATCCAGGATTCGAAAAGCTTTGTGCCTCGCAAACTTCTTGCAGCCAGGACCAAAGCTCTTCCTCTTCCTCCATGGGGACGACGTCTTGCGTCTTGCAAGTTCTCCAAACGAAGGCGCCGCGGCGTGGGCAGAAGATGGCGGAAGTGAATGAAAGAAAAAGATGGTGAGTTGACTCGGTTTGTTGGACTCAGCTGAACTGCTTTGGGCAAGTGGAAATTCCTGCGGGACAAAGACAGCTATTGAGTCTTCTGTGTAGCGGAACCGGAACGGCAGTCACCAAGCATAGCAAAGAGCCTACTCCTTGCCTTGCCCTCCCTGAAAACTTAAATTCCTGGGCCCTACTTGCACCATGCAATCATATTAATTATAGTTATTATATAGACTCCTAGACCCTAAATGACCTCTATTTCGGATCACCAACCCCACCATACCCCCTTTTCCGGATCCTGGACATGTCCACACAGGAGCCTGGCCTTTTCTCCTGCACCCGCACGGCCCCCCGGCGGTATCCACGGCGCTCTGAGCTGTCGTGCGATCTCGCCTTAACGACGCCGGTCGCGTTCCGCCCCGACGTGACCGGCGGGGGAATCCCCAAGAGATGTTGATGTTTTTTTGTGGGATCCCCATCATCCCCATCTAAAAGACATTGAAGGTGTTGCGCCATCTACTCAATCTCCTCTGAATCCACTGTAACTCCGATCTGTTTTCTGATGGAGCTGACTTTATCGAACGACCCTGACACTCACTTGGAGTCGTTTTGGGTATGAACTTTGAGGCTTCTCCATGAAAAGTTCCATCCGTCCCAAAACACCGTGATGGACACAGTGATCCATCCGGCGCATCTGGTGGCATTTGAGATCTCAGATGCCAAGAGCCTTTGGAGCCTTTGGAGCCTTCGGTGATCGAGCCTTCGCTTCTCCGTGCCTTCGCCACCACGGCTCCGGATCTTCCCTTTCCGTGGCACCGCCCTGGGGTGCCCCGCACCACCTCGGCCTGCAACTCCGCCAGACTGGTGGCCAATTGCTTGTAATCGGTGACGGTGCCTCACTCATCGCCCCGTTTCGACGCACCGTTTCGTCTGGTTCAGAACCCAAAAGCTAGCAGTCTTTCGAGTCCTTTTTCTCCCAAGACATGGGGGGAAAAAGGAACCACGACTTTAAGGACGTGACGAATGACCATAGCATTCTTCAAATACCCAGAGACCAAAGTATTTGCATCCTACCTTTCATGGCCTCCCTGGCTTCGACGATCGCGAAGTCACGTGGATTTGCACTTCAAGTAAACTCTCCCTGAAAGTCCAGTCATGACTCATGTTGTCTCTATCACTATTGGATTAAATTATGATTCGCAGGTGGGTGAAATGAGTCAAGTTCTTGGCTTCGCTTGGAGGTCTTTAAAGCATCGGACACCAGCCTGAAACCCGCATGCAGCTGGAGGCTGGATGGGTTTGGGCGCAAGGAGCAAGGAGAAACAATATGCCTGCTAAGCCAATTAAACCTGCATGTGTTTCTTGCAATTGAATTGACAGTACTGTACGACGTACTGCTGTTGTGTTTTTTTCCTTCTTTCCGGTACACGGACCGGAGGCACGGATTTGAATGGATTTGAACTGCCGGCTTTGGGTATGTATTGGAAACGTGGACATTTGCAGGGCATCGCTGAATTCATACAAAGTTGGGTGGAGATGTCCAAATTCTTAAGCGTGCACCAAAAACACCCGTACATGGGGTGAAGAACTTATATACATGTAATTACGCATCCGGTACACATTTGCAACGACATGTGGAGCTTTTCACGGATTGGACGCACAAAAACCATTCCCAGACACTCCATGCATGGTATATTTACGTAATACATTGACCCCTGAAACCACCCCAATGTAGGCATAATATACCACCACTTTGTAGAAGTATGTACTACAGTGTTACACTTTTTGCACCATCCACTTGCGGTGCGCACCACGTTCTTCAGCTGGCAAATGACTCACCGAGCCCAGCGAAGTTGTTGCGGTCTCGGACGGAACATCATGGAACTGGCTGAAACCGCACCAACTCACCGGGAACAGTCGAGTCGAAACTCTCTGCCTTTTGTGCTCAGCTACTGCAGCAGCCAGCCAGCTGCTTGGTCTGCTGTCGAACTTTTGTTGGCAGCATGACGCCGATGTCTCCCACTTCTACCCGGAAGTGCTTGAAAACTTGTGATGAGTTCACCTCAAATTTCTCAGAAGCTGGTCTCCCACTTGTGCAACCACCTTGTAACGCCCCTGACTCTTCCACATCTTTCAGTGAAAGGTGCAAGAGGCTTCACCAAGATCAACCCGACAAGGCCGCACCCCTGCTACCCTCGTGGTGCCTGTTTCCCCCGGCATCGAACCCTGATCCTTCGCCATGGCACAGCGGAGGGCCACAGCCGCGTCCAAGCCCAGCAAACGCTCCTCTGGCTCGCAGCAACTCCACTATAGCTGGTTGTTTTAAAAACCTCCCTTAAGATCTCTGCGAAAATACAGGGTGCAGGTGCAGTTCTGTATTTCTTGTTGGTCGATAGTACGTATGCTTCAATGGTTCCATCCTCTTTATGGGTGGTGCTCCACTCTGGTTCCTGACCTCTGAGAACCTCATGCACCCCATCGATGCCTCCCTCAAAAATCCGAAAAGCATGGAAAGCCTGGCCAGTCGCAGTGTGAATTGAATGGTATCGGGTGCTCCTGCATGTTCGGTCCATGTCACGATCGCCGAGATGGCAGGTTTTGTTCACCCGTTTTGTGCGGGGTGCAAGACCATGTTCGAATTCGGTGGGTATGGTTGAACATGAACGGTCTTAGCAGCCCCCTGCGCACTAAAATGGAAAAGAGACGGGAAGGGGCCCTATGAGACCCCACTGTTCGCCATGTCTCTTGTAATTCTTGCAAGTGTAGATCCAAAAGACAGCACTCCCTTCCACTGACTCCAAAGCTATTTCTCTGGGACATTTTAAAAGTGAACCGAACATTTCGCCTGTTGGATTTGAGTCTCCTGAGTGATTGGGTGTCCCCAATCCCCCAGCGCAGGTTTTGCAGGTTCTCCATGGTTCTC